AACCCTAAACCCTAAACCCTAAGAATCCCTAAACCCTAAACCCTAAACCCTAAACCCTAAACCCTAAGAATCCCTAAACCCTAAACCCTAAACCCTAAACCCTAAGAATCCCTAAGACCTAAAGACTGAGGATTGAGGAGCGAACTCGAAAGATGGCGATGGTGAAGACCCACATGTCATACAAGAGCAGCTTGCGCGGCAGAGGGGAGCCATCTGTGGTGGGTAGAGTATGGTGTACTAAGACTATGTATATAGTTAGGATATAGTAACTGGAGTATATCATAGTGTAGTCACGCTGTGACTGTGATTGTGAGCCGGCTGAGCCCACAAGGTATAGTCCGCGAGTATGGAGAGGAGGCAGAGGAAGGCAACTTGCTTGAGCAGCTTGGCGCAGAGAAGCTGCTGTACTAGCTTATGCACGTCGTCGACTCGTCATAGACCATCTGAGGCTTCTGGAGCGCTTCCAGAAGATGTTTCAGCCCAAGCACACATTGCGGCCGTCGGGTGGGCGCAGGAGGTTTGAAAGCAGCGTGAAGAGCATACGGGCCCCTGGGCGGCAGATTGCTGGTCCCGGAGGATGCCACTGGCTGCCACTTGCTTCGCTGCGTCAGGTTCACATTTCCCTGGCCAAGGTTTACGACGCATTGGCCTCAGTGACGGTATCCTGCACGGGTAGAACTCGGGCCTGTGGCTTGTATGAGCTTTCCGACACAGGCCCCTCTGCGCTGGCAGCAGGAAGCGGTAGCACAGCAGTCTGCACCCCCGCCACCGCTCGGAGGCGTGGTGAAAAGGAAGTTGGCACTTCGGAACTTCAGCACTGTCCACTGCCAAACTCAAGCCTGCAAGGCGTTCCAGGCTTGCAAACATTCGGCGCTCCTATTGCTGGGCCAGGCGGGGTTAGCAGCTAAATTCATAGAGAGTCAGATAGAGTTCACGGCAGCATTACGAGCAGGCGACCTCTGCCATATTTCACGTCGTTTAGTTACGCTCACGCGGACGTTGCATCATGTTGCATCCATACGTTTGGAAGGACGCGGCTTTCAGTGGCCCCGACAGATGGGCAGCCCCTTTGCTGGCTCATCGGAAGGGGTGTGGCCACCTGAGCTTCTGGATTCCCAGAATGATGTACTTAACTCTGCGAGCCTTCTTGACCCTTCTTTGTGAGGTTTGGGGCCACCCCTGCTGGAATACAAAGCCAGCAGTTGCCAGAAATCGTGATCGAGATGACTCTTCAGGACTATACTGCATTGCCTGCTATGGAATGTAGAATCTAACTTTTGACGACAGACGTCGAACAGGACTTCCATGGAAATCTTTTGTTCAAGCGGACCGAGCGAGCACAGCAATCTACTGATCCAGCAGCTTCGCCGCAAGACTCGATGTTGATGGTCATCCCTCGTGTCTTCTCGCACCCGGCAAGACATCTCAGGACATCAATCAGATTCTGGAGCTTCCCCTCCATGCAGCTGGCATAGCCGGAAAAGAGGAGCTCACCCAAGAGAATCTGTGGCGGACTTGGACGGACTTGGAACACATGGTCCCTTTGTCTTGTCGGGTGCACTCACCCTGATGACGAGTGTTTCGTGCAAGGATCAAGTATAGCGGCGAGCTCACCATAAACGTTTTCGACTCCTGCCCGCACCATTACATCTGTTGTTTGCGATTGACGCCTTTGAGTCTTGTGCCCAGCTGCAACATGCTGAAACTGGAGAGTCTCCTCACTGTCTCTTCTCAGGATGAACTGTCGCAGAGACTGCCCGGAAGTGGCCAGGAAGTGCGAGTTCGAACTCAATTGCGCAATCGGGCTGCACGAGCGAAAGAGGGGAGAACGGCAGTCTCAGAGTTACGATGAGAGTTGCAAGATTAAAAGAGTTACTACAAGGAACGGGAGCGGCCTTTGGAATTCTGTGCGGCCGAGGCCACCTTGGCAAGTTCGTCTTGCCGTGGGATACTCTGTATGCTGCGAAGTGCAGCGTTAAGGGACACTTTCCCGTCGATCAGCCGCTCAGACTATGCTTCGAGTACGGGTTGGGACCCACGGACACAGCGTCCTGACACGGCCATGCCAAGCCAGGCACGTGGTGCTCTTCGGATACCGTCCCAAATCAGAGAAGCAGCGCCCGCCCGCACCCGTACCAGCAGAAGGCAGGGCTTGGACCCCTGACAAAGGCTGGAGGCTTGCCATGCTTGCCCCGGTAGGTGCTCCGCCGCCGCCGCCAGCCAGCCAAGCAGCGAAGACGATGTGCCTGGGTCTGGAGGCCCCGAGAAACTCCCAAAACAAACAGAGATCGGACTTCGACGATTCCGGAGGTCACGGTGGACCCTCCGCTCGAGCATCCAACACGATCCCTGCCTGCAGCTTCCACCATTGCCCTGGCATTCTCACGAGTTGTGCCCGACGCCTGTGGCAAGGAGTGCAACCTCAGATTACCCTGGGAAAGGAGCCCAACATGATGCTCAAACATGTCCAGAAGCTTGGATTTCGAAGCGTGTACCCGAAATCTCTTGGCTACGACTGTGGCAATTGCAACATATTGCAACAGTGCTTCTGTGCTATGTTCTTTGCAAACGAGTTGGTGACAAGGAAATGGCACGATTTGCTCAAGTCGCGGCGTGATTCACGCGGCTTGATCGCCCTCAGACCCTCCACACTCTGAACAGGCCTTTCTCATTTCGATGAGCCCAGACGCTCGTAGCTCAGTCAGAGGCTCAAAGAAGATCTGCAATGATCTGAGGTATACTGGCATTGGGCACAGATGTTGATGGTCGCTCGTGTCTGATCTGCCGCTTCATTCGACCACAGAAGCCGCCAGATATCCTGCCCGAGAATCCGTTTGCAATCGCCCCTCAGCCCAACTTATTGGGACAGGAGCCAAACCATGCAGCAGTGCAAGATTTTCCATTTAAGTTCAACGTAGGCCGAGCACCTAGGAAATGGCTGCAAGATACGTATCGATGATTCCCTCGCTTCAGGCTGCCGTCTCGGCATCAAACCTTGGGATGGGTAGCAAGGGCGAATGAGAGATTCAAGGGCAGTCTGATGGTGTGACTCTGCCTCGCTGCCTTCGATTCCTCCGCGCAGTGCCGACTCACCCAGTCTTTGGGCCCTGCTTGGGGATTCGATTGAGAGGATGGAGGGATGAGAGTCGAAATGAGAGTCGAAGGAGCTTTAGAGGCCCATGAGCCAACGGCCGAACTTGCATCATCGGTTCATGGCCCACAGGCGTTATTTGTGAGCTTGCTAGGTTCGGTGCGGGCCAATACACATGGACAGGCTCCAGCGACGAGACACGCTTTTAATGCCCAACCTCTATATGCCTTATTGTCCAGCCTTCCGAACATGTTGTTTGGGAATTCAGAGGCTTCTTCCTTTTCGGTTTTTTGGGACAAGTGAATCAATCCTTTTTTCTCGCGCCCTTTCAGTCGATCACAAAAGAGCCGTTCTTCACTTCTGCATTTTTTTTCTGCAGCAGTTTCTTGCACTTCGTAATCTGCGGCTCCAGCTGCGTGCTGCCTCACGAAGTTTTGCAAGCGGACATGGATGGCCCACATTCGCATGGTCGGTGGAGAGCAACGAGCGGACGGAGGTGGTCATGCCGGCAGAACAATGAACAATTGCAGTCTCATGTGCAGACGCCCTCAGAAAGTTCGAGACAGATCTCTTCTAAGCGCAGACCTTCCGAGCTCACAGTCGCAGTGTTCCCGCTGTCAGGACAATGAAATGTGGAACGTGGAAGACCTGTGGTCGCGGGCTTTCCTCAGTTTGCTTTGCCTGGGCCAGTGCCGAAAGCATTTCAGGTGCACGGACCAAGAGTTCCTGGACATTCAATGTGGAGACTGGGAGGACTCACAGGGCCAGGTCTAATTCAGACAGTGGCAGGAGGCACATCCTGCCTGTGTCAGGAGCATTGCATACTGCTGTGCAACTTCTTCAATTACATCGACCGCTATCGACGGGAATGCGTAGGTGTGGTCCTCGGTTCAGGACTCCACGTGGCGGATTTGTTTCCTGAGAAGCTGAGGAGGATACAGCACCTCAGACATTCAGCAGCGGCCTTTGAAGCTCTGTGTCCACGACCCGGTGGTCCCTGCCTGCGCTGAGGTCCTACTGTGTAATCTGCGACTTAATGCCGGAGGGGGAAGCCGTCGTGGTATTGCGAATGGTGCCCCTAGCAAGTGAGTTACCGTGCTTGCACATGCACATGCGTTGAGCCAGCCGCCAGGACAGGCAGTCAGGGAACTGTGAATTCTGGCATGCGCTGAAGGGCCGATGTCCTTCGTCTGAACTGGTTTTCCTTGGCTCCACCTGTTGCTTGAGATCTGACTTTCGATTGGAGGCTATTTCCTGCCAGCAGCTGCCGCGAAGCAACGCGCGTGCCCCATGCAGCTTCAGTTTGCATGCTGTGCAGCGTGACGGAGCGCACAGATGGTTTTAGAGATAGATTTTCCCTTTGGCTATCGCGCAGGAGACTGGATATAGATCTCTGATCTCGCTGTGAGATGTCGGCTTCAGGATGACTCGACGTAGAGCCGCAATGGAGGGCCGTATTCTGTGGTCTCCAGGCCTGTGACAAGGCCCTGATGCAGGCCTCGGCCTGGAGGCCCCTGGCCTCTGCCTCTCCCTCCCCCGGTCGGCCACGTTTTATTCAGAGCCGTGAGGGCTTCAACTGGCGGCCACATGTGCTTGGTCCTAGCAAGGCAAAGAGGGGGAGGTTGAGTGACGGAAGGCTTCTGTCATGGAAGTCTGCAGCCCAGGGCACCGTTACAGAGGCTTCAAGGCTTGGCCCCGTGACATTGTGGACATTGCTTGCCATATCCTCTTTGAACCTCATGAGTTTCACGGCGATGTTTCCGATTACGCCTATACTCATGAAGCGCTACTCCATGAAGTCGGAGATTGGGGTCGGCTTGGTGGCATCGTCCTTTGCACTGGGGCGCTTTCTCACAACCTCGTGCTGGCCGAACCTTGGCAAAGACTCTTAAGGGGCTCTGCTTTGTGGCTTGGCATAGCGTGGCCAGAGCCATGCACGCATCAGTTGTGCGAGGATTCTGAGCGACTTCATTGGCCGCAGGAAGGTACTGTTCATGGCCTTGCTGGGAGGTGTGGTTGGCTCTGCCCTGCAGGGTGTGGCCATAGCGCATCTCGGTTGGACCTTATCGGGGATAGTTGCTGCTCATGCCTCAATCACGCCTTGAAGTGTGGCTCTGTTTCTGGCGACCTTTTCTGCACATCTCCTGAAGTAGTCCTGCTGACACTCACCAGCTACATCGGATGTGCTTTATGTTGAGAAGCGTCTGAAGCCTCACACATCGCCCTGCCCAGATGCTGTTGGCCCTTTGCAGCTTTCCTCGTTGCAGCTGTATCGCAAGAAGCAGCCACAAAGCAGTGATTCTTCCTGTCCTTGCCTACTTGCTGGAGTGCCCGAGGTCAGAGGTGTCTCCGGAATGTTCAGCGGAATTGTACCCGTGGTGAAGGCCTACATAGTGGATGCCTTCGATGCAGAAGAGGTCCCTAAGGTCTTGGCATACAGTGGCTTGGCAAAGTGAGCTGTCGCGAGGGCTCTCGAATCTGCGCTTTGTCAACTTGCATGTGCATGAGGAGAAGCGGCTGGGACAATGGCGCCTTTCGGATTTACACCTCGGCTGATGTCTTTCCGGTTCTTGCGAGACTTGTCTTCGACTTCTGCGGTGCTCTCATGTCGTTTTGATAAGTGCAGGTTCATCATTGGCCCAGCTCTTGGGGGAGCGCTCGCCTCAAGGAGATGTCTCTGAAGTCTCATGTTTTCGTTCCCAGTAGGGGCTTCGGCACGTTTGCATGGCAAGCCTCTTCAGGACGCTCTCTGCTCCGATGTTTTTCTCAGCGTGCACCGGTGCACTTGCAGCTGTCCTGGCGCTGAAAGTTCTTCCGGAACCGATCCAGCGAAGGCCCTTTCTGGGTGGCTTTTTTGTGCAACGTTTTTTCATCGATGTGGGCGGCTTGCTATTCACGCCCCTGCCGTAGGAGTGGAAAAGGGCCAAAGAAGTCCACCACTTCTGCTGGAGCAAGATCTCCTGTGTTAGCTGTTCTGCGCCCAAGTAAGCATGGCAGGAACGTGACGGCCCAAGAAGACTCGATTCTGCAGCCAAGGTGACCTTGCTGTTCTGTTCGTTTCTGTGGGCCTGTACAAGGATGGCTTCAGATTGCAAAATGCATGGGAGAGAGACGGTTGCGCACCATTGACCACATTATGATCTTTTCTGCGCGCAGCCGCATATCGTAAGCTCTGATCCGCTCTAGCATGTTAAACACCGTCCGACACTCAGCTACGTGCATGTAAGTACATATGCATGCATGCATACATGCATGTATGGCCGCATGTTTGCTTTCATGATGTGTAAGCGGCAAGAGGGTGACATGTTACGTGTTGTTTAGGAGTGTTCTCTACTATTTCGCCGCGCTTGCATATGCGTGCATAGCAAGACACGCTCGATGCGCATGACAGGTGCATGAGCCATGTAAGGATCTTTACATGTATACATATGCATGTGCATATGCATATGCATGTGCATATGCATACATTTATGCATATGCATACACTTATGCATATACAGACACGTGTATATGTGTATCTAAATATGGCATTCGCGCGCGTGTGTGTGTGTGTGTGCACCGGTACGTACGTACATACCTGACTCACCTGACCTACTCAATTACCTCCCTACTTGCCTGCCTGCCTACCTGCAGACGTAGGCTCGTCTGTGCGTACATACGTGCATGCATGCGCACACATGAGATTAGCATACTTACACACTTCCTTAAGCTTTCATACATGCATGGGTGAATGCATGCATGCATGCCTGCATTCATCCGTATATACACCCACACCATTAACAAGTAACTACTTGCATGCATACACACAACACAAATGCATACAGACGACCGTGCATGCATACATACATGCGTACATACATACATGCATCATATCTACCTACGTGCGTACGGACGTACGTACGTACATACAACACAGTCCTGTGCATATACGGTGTACTCATGTGAGCGGCTCCTTTTTGCTTTGCCAGCTGCAGTGAACATTGCCAGCAGGACTTGTTTTCACGCCTACTTCCCACTTCTCTTAGCGCGCCGATATGCGCTTGCCCTCACAAACATGGGAGCTGCTCGAGCCTCGGATCTGGCTCCAGGATTATACGACTGTACAAGTCATGCATTTCGTGCATGGCTTTTCTGTCAAACGCTGCTTGACTGACAGGTGCTCACGGGCATCTCCTTGACAATAGCTGCGGTCCTTTGCCTGCAGCTGCTGGTAGCATGGCGGACTCGCTTTTGCACTGGCTCTGAAAGGTGCAGATAGCTGGCTTCGAACGCTGCCGCCAAAGACATGGACTGGAGATCACGATGGTCCTTGGTGCATTGCTGGTTCTGGCCGGGCTGGGCCTCTTGGTCGCAGATCTCTCCGAAGTGGTCCGGTGTGTCTCTCATGTCCGTGTACTGACTACATAGCAATACATAGCAGTGCATAAGCCCCAGGTGCTCTCTTCAGCCTTCCTGTCGGCACTTCCCTTTCCGGAGTCTTCGCATGTGGTGCCGTGTACGGTGCAGGCCTCCAGGGAAGTCACAAGAGCTCCTGTCTTGAAGGGCTCAATGCGCTTTTAGAAACCCCTGTAGTAACCCTATATAAACCGTCTAGAAACTTATCACAGTCTAGAAACTTATAACAAACTCCAAAGTAAGCTTATAGTAACCTTCATAGAAGCCTTGACGGCCTGTGAGAGGCTGCGCGCTTGTCTCGCCGGCTCTGCCTTCGCTCTTAGTACAGACGGCCCCGCAGGGCCGATGTGGCGCCCTCTTGGGCAACCCGGCAAGAATTGTGAGGCGAGCTTAGGGGTGAGGTTTCAGAGTTAGTTCGGGGTTTAGCACTCGCATTCTTCTGGTGCTCCATGCAAGAGTATAAGACACCTTTAGGCATCGACTCGGCCATCGTGAACTTCGGACGCATTGTGGCCCCATCGGTCTTCGGCCTCATTCCTCAGCATACCGCAGCCTTGCAAAGTTGCGGTGAGCATAACGCCTGATGCTTTCGGATGGCATCTGGATCCAGGCCTGCTGTATCGAAGCGATCAAGAGTTCACCCGGACCGTTCTGGCATCCAAGATAGTCGCAGTTGCCAGCGACTTGGGTTGCAGGATAGCCTTTCCTCGATTTTTGCTGGTCCGTTCACGATTGCACGTGCGCAAGTGTGATCGCGTTCATGGAATCCCTTTGAGGTACAGTTGGCTTTCTGGCCTTGTTTCTAAAGCGCCATCCCGCCCGTGCCAATTAGCAGCCTTCTGGGACGACTGATCGCACAGTTCCGCTGCACTGGAGCGACTGAAGCAGAAAATCTAAGCCCGCTGCGCAGTGAACACTTTCGGGTATGTGCCGCAACCATGCTATTCAGAGGTCATCAGGGCGGTAGCGCGGTTGCGAAGCTTGCTGTGCTTTCCGTGGCTTAGGTTGGAGTCTGTGTCCTCGTGGTACCGAAGGGGCTTGGAGCTCGGAAGCTGCCTTTCAGACTTTTCGTTTCTAGGGACGGACCGCCTATGGTCATATCCGTCAGTGAAAATCCACGGAATGACTGGACTGGATGGACTGTCTGAGACGGAAGACGACGCAGCGCAGCCTGACACGCAGCAGGCATCAGTGCTGAAGGCCCCCTGGCAGAAATCACACTTGGCACTTGGCAGAGGAGCCTTGCAGAGCCGTGCCTTACGTGAGGCGATGACTTCCATACCGATTCGGAAAGTGCACCTTGTGTTCAATGCGGACAACGTCGGACCTCCATTACTACTTTCGTTTGTGTTCGCCCAAGACCCAGCACACCCAGGTCTGGGCCAACCTCCAAAGTCGGTGTCTAAATGACCAGAAGGAAACCCAAGCTCCGGATTCCATTGCTGAAGCTACACCCTGAGTCGAGGTGAGCGGGCTAAAAGTGCCCACAAAGGGGTTGCAGCCTTGTCCTGGGATCTCGACGATGCAAGACGTCGGGCACAAAGAGCCTCACAGGGCTACTGGCAGCTGCGAGACCTAGTGACACAGACTCTTTCCCCATGATCATGCAGGCTGGAAGCCGCTGTTTGCACGCGGGCGTGAGGATTTGAGGAGGTTATCGGGACTTCCACCAGATCCGACAGGCCAGAGAGGATCCAAGCTCAGCACAGCTGAACCCCAAACAAAGCGAGGTGAGGATGCTCTCGTCAGAGATCTCTCCAAAGAGTGGCGCTTAGAGGCACGCCATCGGCAGTAAGCTTTCGATTCGTCTTTCGGGTTGGTTTTTTGGCAGGATCCGTCCCAGGCGCTGACCTTCCAGCCGAAAGATGAGCCACAGGCACTAGAATTTCCTTCATGGCTCTCAAGCCGCGAAATGCTGCAAAGCCTGCGAGCAACGCAGGCTGCGCGCTTAGAGAACATTTTCCAGCTGCAGTCGGTGCCTGAACTTAAGTCCTGGCACTTGTGTTTTCAGCCGAATTGATCCCGGCGAAAATCCTGCAAGTGTCCAGGCTGGAGCAAGACATCATCGATCATCGCGCCGGTCTCAAAGGCACCATTGTCAAGGACAGCTGGGTGGTGTCAGGGAGTGGGCTGATGAGAAGATGGCGAATCGCCAGCAGCCGAGGACAGCAGGAGCACAAAGTTCAACCATGTCATCGCTGACAGGCCCGTGCATATAATTACGCATATAGATATATCTATACACATTTTACATAGTGCAACATGAAAACAGACATAATGCACATACATAAATACATCCATCCATCCATCCATCCATCCATCCATACGTCCATACGTCCGTACCCACCTACCCGCCTGCCTACCTACCTACCTACCTACCTACCTACCAACCAACCTACCTACCTACCTACCTACCTACCTACCTACCTACCTACCTACCTACCTACCTACCTAGCTACTTACCTACCTACCTACCTACCTACCTACCTACCTACCTACCTACCGACCGACCGACCGACCGACCGACCGACCGACCGACCGACCCACAAGCACAAGGGTTAAGTCGCATCGCGTTGTGTTTAGTCGCATCGATCCAGCGTGCGCTTGGGGATTCTGCTAAAACGCAATGATGCCACGTATGTGTGTCTCGAACAAGTGCTTGTGAAACTGAGCGGGTGCATGGGGAATGGCTGCTTTTGATATGTTGAATGTTGTGATTGTGATGCCACTTGTGTCTTGATTTGGTGCTTGCGAA